GCGGTCAAAATTAACTTTTTGCCATTTTTCAAATGACCGCCATTAAAATCATAAATGCCGAGGCCATAGGCCGAGGTCCAGCTGAGGGTGAAACCCGAAGCGTCCGCACGCCACCGTACATAGGTAGTATACAGAGGCTCTATTAAAAGTACAAGATCTCACAATTGTTAAAAATGTAACATATATTATTATAGTTTTTGCAGGCCATTGATCACTCTTTTATATTTTCCACATTTAGGTCCTCTCATATTTGATTCTTTGGAACGTGCACTGTGTACAACGATCTAAATATCTTTTTTCCACAATATTGGGAAGTATGCGCTCTATTTCTATCAGTGAGTCTAAACTTGTAACTTTATGTATATATAGTACATATATGTATAATATTTTAATAATTATTATTACATTAAATAAAGTTTTTTTAAATAATTATTTTGAATACACTATTTAAACATTTATCTTATCTCGACTCCAATACAAATCAATTTAAGAACATAATTAGCATTCCTATGTTTGTGTAATTTAAATTACTGTTATAATTTTATTGGGTGTCTAACTTATTTATATGCAACCAAACATTTAATTTCTTTTAATAAATAAAATATTAAACAAGGCACAATCACAAAATTTGTTAGTGCCTGAAACGCTAACCACGAAAAGCCAAGAAAAAAAAGTTTAGGAATTTTAGTGTTACTAATCTTAATACTGGCTCCCTGAAAACTGGGACAAATAAGCTTTTAAATATTATGGATACGAATAACTCAGACATGTTGGGAGTGACAGATTCGCCTTACAAAGCTTAGACTATGGAACTTTGGAATGAAAACATAAACATGTTATTGTCTTTGTTTAACTACTGCGTGTCGTCGTAAGCTAAAAGAGATAGCATTACATTGGTCTGTGCCAAATACGGGAATCGAAAATACTTAACGTCATCTTAAATGCCTACCGTTTTCATTTCGCATTACATGAGGTAGGTACATGATACGGTTGTCAAAGGGAAGTACATCAAATATCAAAACAAATGTTTTTCAAGTGTTTTGCGTAAAAACATTTGGAAATTTTATTTTATAAAATGGACGAAAATTTTGAAAGTGAGAACAATTAAGTATTAATAAAAATGCGTCGCTACAGCATTAAGGGACGTGACATTAGCCAAAGCGAAAATCAACCGAATAACATTGCACAGACATGGTTATTTTTCTGTCTATAAATCACACAGTAGCCCAAAGATCTCATGTAATTATACTTATTTAAGTAGTTTATTCATAAATCTTGCCAAATTTTGCTTTGATTACTTCTGATTACTTACTTGTTTGTATATTTTAATGATTGTTGTTTAGGATTCTTTTGTGATAGTGTTGTTCTTGTAAACGTACTTATTATCCATATTCTGTTATGAAAACAATTCACTACGAGGTTTTTATTATTATTATTTTTATTATTTCAAGTTTACCAACAAATGAAAAAAGAAGGGTTGGAAATCATAGGTTTGCCGAATATGAATATTATTATATAATTATTAATTTCATTTTGAAGAGTCAAATTTTACCAGCACTTTAAATGTAACTAGATTACATGATAATGCAATTCCATCGTTAGGTTTATTGGTAAATAATGTTATATTTAATTTAGATTCAACAAGACTCATTTACTAGGCATTCTCAGTTCCTGAAAACAAAAGTATCCACTCGTTGCAGATTTTTTCATACGTTTTAATCACAGTAAACTAAAGAAACAAAAAAAAAACTATTTCAACATTCAAGTCATGCATGTTTGCATGTCGACAATGACTTATCGATAGATTATAGTACAACGCTATAGAAATCCGCCATTTGTAGCGTTCAATTTTTGTTTTGATACCCACGTTCATTCTGTAGTTAGGGCAGCTCCTTTCTTTTATTTTTTTTCCATTCTCTAAGCAAATAAGTCAGACATAGTCATTCTTTCTAGAAGTCAGAAACAAAATATTATATTATAGAGGCATATCTTTTAGTACATAAACCGAGAAATACTGGCACTCTGCGTTATGGCATTATGCGTCTGAATCCTGGAGTATTTTAATATTACGAAAGTACTGATTCCACCGAACGACCTTGAACAACTGAAAATTGACAAACATAATAATTATAGCAGTTGATGTGATACACTAAACATTGCCAGTTTCAACTTTAGAGGATGGGAAAAAATAGTTTCAACCAATAATAATTCTCTTTGGTTTCAACCTGCAACAGATAGTGGCTGACGCTATTAGATTTTACTCCTACCTCTCGAACAATTAAAGTTGTGATGACTCTTATCAACATTTATAATGTAACCACCCTATGTAAAGCAAATAAACGACATTCCGTTCCCTTTCGTTCCGTCCACGGAAGAAGTGTATGTGGCCTGTGGTTCAGTCCCTTCCCGTCCCATTCCATTCTCCATTGCATATCATTCTATAACATGACGGCACAGTTGTATAAATAGTCACTTCTCAATTAGTTCAATGCAAGGATTAGTGGAGAAGAAATCCATTCTTGTCGAGAGTCTATGATTAGTCGGTTGGATTTGACACGGATGTCTCCGATTGGGAACTGCAATGCCGAACTATCAAGTTTGACGCTACCAAAATGCAAGTGTGTCTATTCTTCACAAAACGGAGTCCCTTTGACCTGACTTGGACTATTTGTGATAAATCCAAACTAATAGCAGACCGTCGTCAGCTACTTGGAATGATCCTGTTCTCCAGTTTGAACTTCGGCAGATACATAGAATAAATGGCCAAAAATGCAGCCAGGAAGCTTGACATCCTTTCCAAGGTGAGGTGCTACTTCACACCGGCACAATTGCCTAAAAAAAAGAGGTACCAAGCACAAAGCCGGTCGTGTATGGAGTGTTACTGCTATCTATGGGATAGTTCTGCTAAATACCAACTGGCTACCTTGGAGTCAGTTGACAAGCGTGCCGAAAGCCATAGGTGACTCGTATTTGTCGCGAAACTGCTCGCGCACTCGCTCGCCCTTCCCTATCCAAAAGCTACCCGCCTCCATCTCGCGGATGCTGTCGTTATCCTGTAGTTAAGTACAGGGTCAAGAGCACAAGCTTGACACTTAAAGCCTTACTAATAAAAATATTTAAAACAACTGCTTAACAACTGTATAGTTGTACATTGTATAAACTGCAGATAAGAGTTACACACTCCCTTTACTAATAAAAGGTGTGCAAGCATTGCGTAGTTATAAATTAGTTAAAACAATAACCACTGGCAACATTTTTAGCGAGCGTTTTGATACTAGGTTGGAAAACCTGATAGACATTTTGGCAAATTTTTAAACAGCGTAATAACGTTGTTTTTGTAATAAATAACATAAATTGTTAGCATAATAATTGACATTTCTTGTCTTGAAATGTGTCTAAAGTAGTTTTGTATTTCTTTTACAATAAAAAAGTTCTTTTGGCAAAGGTTATCGTAAAAATTGTCAAAAACTTCATGAACGTACCTTTCATACATTGCTAAACGTCAAATTCGAAGTAAATTGCGTTTATTACACTGTATTAGGAAATTGTTACTGTGAAATAATGGCTTGTAATAGTGGAAACATTGACCAGCTCAAGGCGAAAAGAAAACGATCTGCAAATTGGGATACCTTAGAAAAGGTGAGAAGGAATTTTACTATACCTACAAAAGATTTCCCACTCGGTCACAATTTGTAATCGAACTTTTGTATATTATCTTTCAGAATTTATTAAAAAGTTGCATACAGGAGTTTATATCCGTGTTAGAGAACAAAAACACTGACACTAATACCAATAAAAGTAAGACCATTGCTTGGCACACAGTAACAAAAAGGTTTGTAAAATACCACGTTTCACGCCTTTTGTTTAATGTTTCTTGTATTCTTCTAACCGTAATTGAGACAAAATGTTTTTCAGATGTAATGAATTAAATAGCCGGGAGAGAGATTTAGCTGAAATAAAACAACAATGGCGTACAATGAAATTAGATGCTAAAAAAATATGTCCCAGGTAAAGACATCTATCAAATGTACTGGTGGAGGACCAAAGCCTCCTAGCCCAGATCCGGAAACAATAGACATCTTAAGTATGATTCCACAGGAATTTGAAACAGATTCAAATATCTTCGACAGTGACAGCATAGCGGTGAGGATCTTATAATTTTTTTATTATTGTGCATTGCATGAATTTTATTTAATGTAGACAGTATAATTGTGAGACAGTTACAAAATTATATCTTTATGAGTCTATGATATAAGTATAACTTTAATACACATTTTTCTATTTTATTTTAGAATCAAGAGGTGGAATGTGTCATGTCAACACAAGAGTATGTTCTCACTCCATTAGATAAGAAAGAGAATGTGGAAGAGGTTTGATAATTTAAATTTATTAATAAATGTCTGTATTATGCAGACCTCTATACATTCATACAATATTTAAAAATGGCTTATTTATTTATTTATATGTCTGGTTTTTTGTATCAGAATATCACACCACAACCTGTGAAGAAGATTAATTTATTTAAACCTTGTGGAACAAAACGGAAACTACCATTTAATGAAATGAAGCATAATGAACAGACTGCAAAACGTGAGGTAAAATAAAATTGCAACATTTAATTTAGGTAAAAGAATTAATGGCATGGTGATTTGTATTTAATAACAAACTATTTATTTCAGGAACGGGACTTCACAAGAGAGCGCCATATGGTTCTTGTCAATTGCATAAGGGAGGAACATGAGCTAAAAATGAAAAATATGTTAGAAGCTCAGAGTTTTATTAAAGAAGAGCATGACCTTCAAGTTGAAAAATTAAAATTGGAAATTTTGTTGTTAAAATCTAAATTAAAATAATACAATGCTACAGCTAAAAGTGTGTTTCAATGAACAATCTTCTTGTTTCTTGGCCAGATCGGCTATCATTATCTCTCCTTGGCATTTGTTGATTATCATCATTTTCAGACAAGTGAGGTTCAAGAAAATCAATGTCTTCTTTCATATCGATGGCAATATTGTGGAGTATAGCAAGTGCTACAATGTACAATTTTACATTTTTTAGTGTTACACTAAATCCATGCAATAGACAACGAAACCTCTGTTTCCATACTCCAAAACACCTTTCAATTGGGTTTCTTGTCAATATGTGTGCTCTGTTGTAAGACTCTTCCTTCACACCACGGGGATTCTGGATTGGTGCAAACAAATAATTTGTTAAACCATAGCCTGAATCTCCTAGTAAACGGGCACTAAATTCCCCATTTTCAAATTGTTGCCGAATTCGACTTTCCCTGAAAATCCTTGCATCATGTGTACTGCCCCTCCAGTGTGCCACTATGTCTCTTATCTTCAATTGAGAATCACAAACTACCTGGACATTTAAGGATAAAGTTAAGTTTTTTAAAATTTTCGTCAGTTGCGAATCGCGCGCGATTTGGAATACAGTTAGAGCTTTCTAAAAATTTTAAACTTGTGTTTCAGAGTTCGAGGTCGCAGAGATGCAGATCGAGAGCTTCAAAGGTGATGCGCAGTGGTACTAATAAGTGGTGGTAATTCATTTTTCTGAATATTGTATCAACCTTTCTTGCTTTCTTCCTTTCTTCCTTTTTTGCTTCCTTGGAGCTACTTGTATAATAAAATAAATAAAGTTCTTGCCTTGTGCCCAGTAACTACTTTACTTTACCTTTGGAGACTTTTGCAAAGAACACTTACTTAGATACTATTCTTTGACTCATTCTTATTTTACTCACACAATTTGAAATAATATGAATGTGATTAACTATTATTGTTGTATGTATAATAGAGAAGTACATGTGTTACCTCTTGTACTTTTAGAAAACTATGTAAATAGTATTAGTAGTAGTAGTACGAAGTAGTCAGTATAGAATATAGAAGTAAGATTTTAGAAAACAATATAAGTAAGTAAGATTGTTGTAGAACACCATTGTCACTTTTTTGATACTGTTTAATAAAATAATACGTTTTATTTCTACAGGAACAATATGTTCCAGGCTCTCAAAAGGAGAGCTGCTTCCGAGAGCACTCCCTTGAATACTTTATACCGAGAGGAAGTAACAAGGTATGAAAGCTTCTATTTAAAAAAATCATAAATGTATTTGTACCTACATCAGTTTATTCATACGTTTTCGTGATGTATATAAAGTTCAAAAATCCAGGACGCTCTTTGTTAACTAATTGTTTTAGTAGCAGTAGAGCTCCTTGTGAAAGAATTCGTCCAGGGTAGTACTGCCACCTTACCTATTTCTGCCGCCAAGCAGTAATGTCAGCATTACTGTGTTCAGGTTTTGAAGGGTAAGGGTGCTAGTGAAATTACAGGCACATGAGACTTGTCAACTTATGTCTCACAAATAAGGCGCACGACTTCTCCATCCTGTCACTTGATTATAAAAAAAAAGATTGGATTCCATCAGTCAGCCTTTCGTTGATGCATTGATTTATACCTACCTTCCGTCTTGGTAGGGTCAATGCTTCCGCCGCATAATCTAATTTGACTTTGTATGTACAGACATCCAGATGGCGCACCGCACCTCTTGTACGAGACCGTGGTGTCTTCGATGCGGCTCTGGCGGAGGAGTCTGCAGCTAGGCACTGCGGCAGCAGAGCCTGGCTGGCTTCGGGGCGGCGCTCGCGGAGCACCCGCGCCACAGCACCATGCTGTTGGCTACGGTCTCCGCGGGCGGCGCCTCGTCAGTCATCCTGGTGATGCCAGGATACAGGGAGTTGCTTCGCGAGAGCGAAGCTCTTATTGTTGACGGCACATTTTTAACCGTGCCGGCGGGGTTGCCCGCCTACCAAATTCTCACAATTCACGTGGTTATAGAAGGCCACTTCTACCACCCCGTGATGGTTCTCATGGAGAACAGGAGGAGGCCGCTTTACGAAGCGGTCTTGCAAAGAATTTGGCAGGAGGCTGACAACCCACGTCCGGCCGTTATTGTGACAGACGAGTTCAAGGTTTTTTGATTTTATTTCATTTCACATATGTATTTAATATACATACGTACCTCGTAATGGATTCCATGCTATTCGTATTTTGTTGGTAATTCATGGTTAGTATACATATCTACCTAATTTAGTATCTTAAAAGTACCTATATAGTAATAAATTATTGTAGTTAATGTATTTAGTGATGCTTTAGTTTTTTTAGAAGTTGAACAATGTAGTTCCGCAAAGGGGCCTCCAGATAGTCTCGTCTGCAAAATGGCAAATACTGACAAAATCAAACGTAAGTACACATCATCTTCACTTACCTTTGTACTAAGTCGTTTTTAGTTACATATTATAAAAATTTTAAGTTAAAAAAGAATCTGTCCATTCTACTCAAGGTCCAACCGCTTGATTCGAGTGAAACATCTCATTTATTAGAATGAAATCAAATAATAATAGAAATTTAATATGCTTGAGTTTCCAACAACACCGTCCTATTGTGATACATTTAGCACTTTCGATGACATAAATTTCTTGGTTTAGTCTAATCCATGATAAAGATACGGAAGACTGAATTGCCTTGAGGTATATCGCGGGGGCAGTGCCGTGCTCCCAGGAAAGTTATCGTAGGGTTTTAACGGTGGTTGATCTTAATTTGTAATCTAGACAAACAAATCTACGCTATTTATAACAAAATCATAAATTGTAACAACCCTGCACGTACATTAATAACAACACTTGTATATTTTAATGCTATCCTATTCCTTTCAGATGTCGTCAGCGAGACGTTCGCGGTGAGCGCGTCCAGGAGATCGGCACACGTGCAGGGTATAATGCGTCGCCTGAACAGGGACCGGTCGTATTTTAGGTCGAGTGTACTGCAGAGTAACGAGAGGGCTCTTGAGAGAGGTCTCATTACTCTTCGCCAACACCTAGTTGCCTGCAGTCGCTTGATGGACGTGGGTGTGTGGATTGTTGTCGATGACGTGCTGGATGTTGCAATGGAGGTGGAAGTCGACGCGGGACTGGTACTCGATCTGGAATCTGTTCCAGATTTGGTGGCTGCTCCGGAAGTTGCGCGCTTAAGATCACGCTCGCGCTCCCCCACGCCCGCTGTCTTGTGTGGCGTTTGTCGAGAGAACGTGCCCAGTCACGTGTTGTTGCGTTGCGGGCACGCTCTTTGCGGCATCTGCCTTGGCCAGTTGGAGCGCCATCAAGACGACCGATGCCCATTTTGCCGGGCATTTATTGAGGGCCAACCCTTTGTATTTAAATATTTAGTTGGTGTCTTGGTGCCTATTCAACTTTCCCTGTGGCTGAAAATTCTAGGTTATTTTTTATTACTTTTGCTTTTTGCATGCAAATTGCTGGATAAAAGAATGATAACGAACGGAAAGCATTGAAGCAACTGCGTGATGTATGAGTGTAACTCCGCCACAATAGTGCTTTCGCACTTTGTGCTGGTCCTCAGCCCAGATAAAGGAGGAAGGCACAACATTGTTAGATATTCAGATAATTCTTCATTAAAACAAAACGTTCACTGGGAACACTTGGTTAGTCAAATGTCCCATGATATATTACTTATGTACGATACCTACACAATAAATTCAGTTAACTGTTTATTTTGCGAAACACGTCCTAAAAATGTTAGGAGGTGAGGTGAAGTGGAAATAAAAGAAACTGTTTTTCCAAAATCACGTAAGGGGTCGAGTTCGAAACGCCACATCACCATTTTGTCATTGATGCTCAACCAATATCCTGGTGACTGAGCAGGCTACACAGAGCTAGCCTAATTTTGTTAGATCAGTACCTACCTATTTCTTACATAAATAACTTTAGAAGGTTTAGTAACTGAATGGCCATTTGAAACAAAAAAAAAGGCAAAATGAATTTTTTTTCTATAATATGCCTTATGGTAAGCTACACGCCTGTCCATAACAGTTGTATTGCCACTCAGAACTTTAAATCGCAAAAATTTGATGGGCACTGCCACTGCGCCCGTCAATCTGAGACATAAGTTGACAAGTCTCATGTGCCTGTAATTTCACCATCACCCTTACCCTTCAAAACCGGAACACAAATAGTCCTGACATTACTGCTTGGCGGCAGAAATAGGGAAGGTGGCAAGGCCTGGACGAACTCTTTCACAAGGTGTTAAGCTGCAATAACTACCATTTTCTCTGCCACAGCATAAACACATAACTCATTCACATGCAAAATTCCCAAGCGCAACAAGTTCAAACTTTTGTAGACACCTGATATAAAATGATTTATAATATCATTCATCTTTTACAGCTGAGCAACAACCACCAACAGGCGCTGCAGCTGGTATTTCCCATATAGTACCGGGCCACGTCGTATATCACTGATATTTTATTGCACGCACCTTTGCCAGACATGTTCTCGTCAACACAGCCTGCTATACCTAAATACATACTAAATTGTTCCCTTTATGTTTAATTTAAGAAACTATTGATCTACAATAATGATGTTGCTTACAGCACAGTACAGATAAATAACTTGTTATGTTGTGTGATCATTACCTTATTACCTGGAACATACTATATCCTATACCATACTTTTTAATAAACCAAGTGTAAAAACAGATGAATCACAATCATTGTGACATCAAAGCTAATAATCACTATCTACTGTCATATTTTTTCAAATGTTTATATATTTTTTCAAATGTTTAATTTTTTTAAAGTTTAATAGAGCCACACACTCATTGACTTACTAATAAAAAGTCAATGCACTCACTTGTTTTACTTGTACATAGGTATGATTAAGTTGTGATGAAATTTTGATATTACCATAATATTAATTATTAACACACTGATTAATATTGCATATCTCTAGTAATTACATAACAATTATGTCTGTAATGTAATTAAAATCATTTCAGCTACATCTATTGCAGCGCTTGGTTTACAGGGAATAAAAACAAAACAGGTA